TCTTGTCCTCTTTTCTCTGCATATAAAGAACATTTCTTTTCTCTCTTTTTTACAATGATCTTTTATAGATGGGAAGACAGCTCTTCTTACAAGCTCCTCTAAATCAGTTCCTCCAACCTTTTCTGTTTTCTGAACTGCTCCTCTGCCTCTCCTGGGAACATCCCCACATTTATCTGGATCTTTCTCAAAGCGTGTTGCTTACTTTGCATTTTAATCCACTCTCACAACATGCTCTCAGCTCCTTTTTCTCCAGCGTTATCCACAATTTTTTAAGCTTGCTCTCTACTCCTCATTAATGAAAATACAGGCTGGTTCCAGGGTCTCCCTTGACATCTCCTCGCTGACATGTACTATTGATAACTCTCTTTCGTGCACTTGTTCTGTGTCAGTCTCTAGTTGTTCCTGGTGGATGAGAAAGCAATTTAAAAGTAGTTAAGATCCTGCCCTCAAAATCTTGTATGAAGTTGCACACTTTGATGTATTTTTAGCCTACGTCCATTGTGTTACATACCTCCTGGGGGATTTGAATTATTTTTTCTCTTTCTTTTATACACTGCTGTATGACTTGACACTAGTGGAGCAAGGGGCACTAAAAAAATGAATAGGAATTTGATTTAAAAGAGAAAAACTAAATTATTTACACAGCAGTACTGTCTGCTGGGACTTGTGGCTGCTGAAGTTCATGGAGGCAGATGGTTTCCCCAAGGTCAGAAAGGGATGAGACAAAACGACGGCCAAGATGCCCACGAGGGGATACTGAGATGTCTGGGCAGGATCACACCTTCTATCATCCCTAGTGCAACAACGCAGGTGCTGGTGGTGTATGAGGAAAAGGACTATAGCAAGTGGCCAGATGTTTTCTCCCCAAACAGCATCTCCCACAGCCACTGGGCCAGGCAGACAGTTGCTGTGACCCAGAATGACTTTTCTAATGTATTTATAAGCACCTTCTTCTTATCAGTAGGACTGATGGACCAAGGTCCCAGTGGACATCTGGCACATCCCTGTCATCATATGGGTGACGCAGTATGGTGTTGGCCTCAGTTTGGCTCTCGAATGCCAGCCGGGCAACCAAAAAGATCTGTCCTTGTATCTGCTGATGGGATAGAAGTGAACTGGGATCCACAATGAATTTAAGCTTTTCAAATTAAAATCCCCCAGGAGATAACTGTGAGATGGCTTAGCCTCTCTATCTTAGGGCTGAAGTGCTGAGATGTCCTTCACCATCTCTGCTGAGGAGCCCCCCCCATGAGGAGGCTGTTTGGGCTCAGGGAGCGATGTACCGCAATGTTTCTGCAAATGAGGGCTGGAAGGGGGAGATTTTGGACAGGAATATTGAGTGGGATTTGTCCAGTCAGCAGGGCTGACCTCCTCCCTTCTTGCATAAGGAAGGAAAAAGCACTGTGACAATGTGGAACCCTGTTCCTGAGCCAGGACCTTGGCTGGGTTTGTGGCCGAAGCATCATTTTTCAGTGGTCTTCCAAGTGCTTCTAGAGGTTACAGTGTTGTGTTAAGATGCAATTGCCTGCCTTCCTATTTTCTCTCTGAGGCTCAGGAGGAGGGCATTTCTCTGAGTTGCTGGAATTGTGCTGGACCAGGCCCAAAACAAATGAGATTGAACTTAACCCATCAGTGGGGGTGCCTGGTAAGATCGCAGCCATGGGCTCTGAAAGCAGATGCTCAGGGGCAGCTTCTGTGGGTAAACTGGTCTTTGGCCTCCTTTGTCTTCCCCCACTTGCTTTTTGTTTGTGTAGATATAACTGAGAAACTACCTCTGTTTCAGTTTGTTTAAAGAAAAATAAAGATAAATCATCCAGGCCTATGCTTTAAAACAGAAAACGAAATCTCTGGTTAGTGACATTGTCAAGCAAGTTTTCTAGAAGCCCATTTAGTTTCAGAATGGAGTCAAAAGCTCTCTTTTGGTTATTCAACCCATCCATTCAGAATGCCTCTGTTCCTTTATCCAAAACTGAGGGAAGACTGAGGATTTTTTTAATGAGATTTTGGTTTTTTCATTTCTTATTCAGGCTGGGTGGGATGTGGACAGCTATGGAAAGGTATATCTCCTTGTAGATCCACGGGTTTTTTTGCAAACCACATAAGTGAGTGCAAGAAAAGGGAGATTGTCAGGTCTTAATACAGCAGGTAGAAGAGTTTTGCTCTCTATTTGAATGATGTAAATGCCTTGTACCTTTGGGGAGTGAATGCCCTTAGTGCTGAACTGGGCTCAGAGTGGACCTGCATTCCTTTTCTTGCCCATTTTAATGAGGCCTCAGCACGAGGTGGCATGGATGCACTGCACATCCATCATTGTGCTTCTGCAAACTCCCCATCCTCCCTAGGTGAACCTCTAAGCAACAACCTTTCCATCCACCAATAAAACTGAGTAAGATTGTCAAGCACCTTCCCTCTTCTACTCTCAACATGCCTGTAGTTGAACCTTTGCTCTGAATATTTAATGCATTTACTAATACATTTATGAGGAGTCATTTGGAGGTTTCTTGGTGGAGGGGCCCCAGCTCGCAGGGGCAATAACAACGCCTTTGGTTCAGCGTTAGGCAAACATGCTCAGTGTGGTTGCAGACTTCGGCTTCGGTAGAGGCTTTCAAAGGTTTGTAAATATTTACACACACTCCCGAAAGCGGGAGAGCCAGAGGGGGGGCCTTTAAACACTGAAACTGAGGAGGAATGCGAGTCAGAAAAAACAAACAGGAGGCCTGCCTGAGTCAGAAAAAAATAAGGGAAGAACAAGAACAAAATCTCAACACCTCATTAATCCCATAACTTCTCCTAAAGCATTACCTCACGAGGAATTCCTATAAATCTCATGGATTTGTTGCCATCTATTAATGGAGTCAGCTCAGGAGTCCAACTCATGCTCCTCTCTCCTTTCCCTGCCCCAAACCAGTCTTGGAGCATTTCTGTCCAAAATAGCCAGGCAGAATAAGATTTAGGAGCTATGTCAGCAATTCCCCCCACTCTCCAAACCGCCTGTAGTTTCAAGACTCAACATCAAGTTCATAGCCCCAAGGCGCTGGGTGCATGATGTGATCTGTTACCGTACAGCATTAGTGTCCAGATGAGCATCTGAGCAAACATGACCAAATCTGATCCTATGGCAAGGGGGTTGGACTGGATGATCTTTAAGGTCACTTCCAGCCCAAACCATTCTGTGATTCTATGAACACTTCCACCTGGGCTATCTTTACAGCCCATGGACAAATGGCATCACTTCTACATGGTTAATCTCATCCAAAAGTCAATGCCTGTTGTGCTGTCATGTCCTGTGACACAACTTGGAGTATCTTAGGGGAATGAGATAGCTGGTTTTCGAGAAAGGCTGGGGATCCATGGTCAATGGATCAATGAAAGTGATTCCCCAGTTCTTGGGTTACTTCTGAAAACCACAAGCCAGCTGCTTGCAATTGGACAAAGTGAGGGAACCCCACACAATGGCCAACTTATCCAAATGAGTCTGGCTTTAATTAAAAGCAGAAGCAAAACAAGCAGTGGAAGTCCATCTGATATTTGGTGACTTGTCATCCTACACTGTGCTCCTGCCGTGCTGCCTGCTCCTGGGTCAGGACTTGGGGTGTTATAGGGCCATCTCCCCGGCTGCCTGTGCCGCGATGGGAGACACTTGGATGAGAAAGTGCAGAGTCTGACCCTGCTAGTTTCAGTTGTGATTTCCCAGATAGGGTCAGAGCTGGACTGTGGCTGTAACAGCCTGCTCAGGAGTTTTCCTAGCCCAGGATCATTGGCACAGAGCCTGTGCAAATACTCTGTGGCTGCAGGGTTCCTCCTCCATCCTTTTCAGGTTAGGCAGTGTTGGACAAACACCGGTGTTTGTTCTTTAGGGTATCATCTTCTTCCAGCTCCTTTCAGACAGCTTTGGAGCCTGCCTGAGAATACAGATTTCTAGGGACTATGAGTTTTTCGTTTGGTGGAGATATCACTATAGCTTTGCTCCTCTGCCAGTACAGGAGCTGCCTGAATGCTGCTGAGCCCAAACTGAGAGTCAGAACAGGAGTTCACTGTTATTCTGGGAGTCAGAGCAGGTGATGCAAGTGCAATCCCTGGGCATCACAGCAGGTGATGTCAGTGCAGCCCTGGGGCTGTCCCTGACTCCCTTGCAGGTGTAAAAGGCTGCTTGGCTGGGTGCTCACCCCTGGCATGTACAGCTGAGATGCAATCATGCTGGCTTCATTCAGCACCTTGCAGAGCTGTCAGGGCCCTGCACCACCACAGGACACTGGTTAGGAAAGCTCAGCAGGGATTCGCACTTGCTCACTGCATCACCGAGGAGAAGAACTTGGGAGTGTCGGTCAATGAAAAACTCAACATGAGCCAACAAATGTGCACTTGCAGCTCAGAAGGCCAACCACATCCTGGGCTGCATCACAAGAAGTGTGGCCAGCAGGGCAAGGGAGGGGATTCTGCCCCTTTGCCCTGCTCTGGTGAGGCCTCACCTGGAGTCCTGTGTCCAGTTCTGGGGACTCCAGCATAAGAAGGACACTGAGCTGTTGAAGTGGGTCCAGAGAGGGGGCCATAAAGATGATCAGAGGAGTGGAGCACCTCCCCTACGAGGACTGACTGAGAGAGTTGGGGCTCTTCAGTCTGGAGAAGAGAAGGCTCCAGGGAGACCTCAGAGCAGCCTTCCAGTTCCTGAAGGGGCTACAGGAAAGCTGGGGAGAGACTTTTTACAAGGGCATGGAGTGATAGGATGAGAGGTAATGGCTTTAAACTGGAAGAAGGTAGATTTAGACTAGATATTAGGAAGAAATTCTGCACTGTGAGGGTGGTGAGGCACTGGCACAGGTTGCCCAGAGAAGCTGTGGATGCCCCCTCCCTGGCAGTGTCCAAGGCCAGGTTGGATGGGGCTTTGAGCAGCCTTGGCTGGGGGGTGGTGTCCCTGCCCATGACACGGATTGGACTGGATGAGCTTTGAGGTCCATTCCAACGCAAACCATTCTGTGATTCTATGATTTCCTTTCTTCCAGGCAATGCAACAAGACCTCCAATGGGAGTGACAGCTGTGACTTGATGTGCTGTGGCAGAGGCTACAACCCCTACATGGACAAAGTGGTGGAGCGATGCCACTGCAAGTACCACTGGTGCTGCTATGTGACCTGTAAAAAGTGCGAGAGGACTGTTGAGAGATATGTGTGCAAGTGAAAGCGTTCCTGTCTCTGCCCAGGAGCTGAGATGCCAGCAGCACCCCAGCACTATTCAGAGAAGAGAAAACATTTCCCCAGCTAAACATCATTTATCTTGTAAAGACACAGACTTGAAGAAAGATGGTAGGAGGAAAAAGAAAGCAAACACACCAGTAAAAATAAGACCCTTAAAAAACCCAAACCAACCCACAGATATTTCCCCCACCAATAAAATGATCTCTGAGAAGATAAAAACTCATTTGGGATGGTATCTTCTTCTGAAATGCTTCCTAATGTTACCAATGATGTCCAGCCATCAAGTGCCTTAGTATTTTGAGAAACACAAGTAGAAACTTTCCCCAGGGAAGAAAAGCATCTCTTGTTGAAAAGAACTAAGGCTCACACCTGCCTGTGCCTTCTAGCACAAGTACTGAGTCTGCATTAGGACCATCCCAGAAGGGAAAATGCTACAACTTTTCAGTCATAATTGCATTTGTTGCCAAAGACTTAATTTTTAGCATTGAAGCATCCACTCCAGATGATAAAGGTGGAAAGAGTTCAGGTCAATCCCCTGATATGAACAACTCATTTTAACCTTTCTTTTACGCAGGTCTCCAACTTTGAAGTCACTGCTGAAGGAAAAGCTGTCCATGATTTTTCCAGGCTGAAGAGGGTTTCAGATTTAGCGATGCAAAGACCCCCATGGGATCCTGGAGGCAGTGAGAATAGGGTACCCTGAGAAGGGCTTTATGAGATCTATGAGTTTGTAGTGGAGCCGTTAGGATAAAATAACTAAGTGAAGTCAAAATCCAGTGGGAAAGTTAAAAAACAAACCAGCTCTTGCTCTCTTTCTTTCTCGCCCTTTGGGTGTGATGCCCTTAGTCACCAATGTTCTGCTGTGTTGGGCCATCAAGTCCTTAGGGAAACATACTGCTGCCTCTTTTTCCCCAGCAAAACTATTTCCCCAGCCCCAAGAAACTGCAGAGAGTGGAGCAGGTCCAGTGCTGACTGTGGGGAGTGCAACCCCGCAGGGCAGCAGCTATTCCCAGCAGAAAGGAGTGGGAGCAAGTCAGTCCTTCACATGGCCCAACAGAGAACCACTATCTGTGGCTGTACATATTTTCTTTCATATGCGGGCGTACAGAAATATTTATAAGATATATCTCATGCTTTCATCTACTCTACTTCCTACATAAATATATCTATATGTTATAAACAAGCATTAACAATAGTATGAAATAAATGCTGAAGTTACAAGTGCAACAGCAAAATGTAGAATTATTATGTTTTGCTCTCCTACTTAGAAAGCAACCCTGCTTTCCCTCCCGAGGACACGAGAAAAGCATGGCTCGAGGCACTCCCTGGTGTGGGATAGATAAGTTCCTTTATTCCCTCTCTCCCTGACCTCTTCATTTTGAGCAGAATTCGCCGAGATACAGTCAAGACAAGGAAAGAGACCACTTGGAGAGAAGAAGAGTCACCGTTCTTGCTTTGCTTTTCATATCAGCTATCACTCTCATCGGTAAAACATCCCAGTGCCCCCAAGGAGCTTAATAACAAACATGACTAATACCTCTCATGGGTGGTTCGCTCCTCGCTCCTGCATGTTGCAGGAGTTGCTGCACAGCGGTGATTTTAGCTTAGATTAGGTTCTCTTTCTTGCCCTTCTTTTATTTTTTATGTTTTTGCAAGGAGCATTCAGCTCTGTCTCCCTGTTAGGAAAAGTGATGCTGGAGAAAGATGTCTTCTCCGGGAGCAGAAGGCAGCAGAGCTTGTGAGGTCCTTCAGATCATTTTTGGGCACCCCATTCCCCAAGCAAAGTGCTGTCAGCAGCCAGAAAAATAAATACACAAATGGGGGTGGACAGTGCCACTTTCCCAGAGTGAAATATGTCCATAGTGCTGCAGTCTTCCTCCAAATCCCCTTTTTACCCCACCCAGCTGCCTCTGACATGTCTCTGAGCAGCCCTGGGGAGCTGGAGAAGAGAAGCATTGCAGGCTATAGAGCAAAATTAGAGATATTTTGTACTGCTCAGCTACTTTGCTTTGCTGTAACTGGTTTGGTCTCCTCACCTCCTTCCCTCCCCCAGTCACAAGCAGGCAAAAAGAGACCTTTGGTAGTGTGTCAGTGGTTTGTGTTATTGTCACCCCATAAAAGCTGGTGGACTAAGACATCTCTGCGGTGCGGTGTGATGAGCGGTGGGTGTCTTTAGGCTGACATGCAGACAGGCTGGTGGCACAAATCCCACTGCTCTCCAAAGCCAGAATTTGGCGCCGTTTGATATGTGGAGAAACAGCCTACTTCCATTCTTGTAAGGAACTTTTATTTTTATTGCCAGTTTCTGATGAAGCCAACAAGGCAGGGATGTTCTGACCAAAGAAAAATTTGAGCATTTCAATGCTATTCTGTAATGACTCCTTTTCTTGCTCCCTTGCTGATGTCGTGTCTGCTTGGCATAAAAATAGTGAGATGGAAGAAATGCGCTATATACACATTGTTTTCAGCTGCATTTCACCCCTCCAGTGTCAGAACCGCGTTCTTCAGCTACTTTTCCGCATGTCAGAAGAAAGCATAACTTTGCAGTGTGAAAAGATGTTTGTATGCCTAGCAGGCACCTACAGGCCCATCAGGTGGGCAATGACCCCTCAGCAGAGCTTTAGTCACAGTGGTACCTCAGGTTTTGTGTCTGCCTCTGCCCACAGCTGTCTGTTACTGAAGATGCTGAACTGAAGTGGCTGTGGTGTTTGGAGGTTTGTATTTTGGGACATCCAGGCTCTAAACCTCTGCAGGCTCCTCTAGATAATCCATCATGGGCTTCATCTGAATTTTGTTTCTTTGAGCTAAGAGTCCATGTGGCCTCAGCCCACGTCCTAGGCTGTTGGTCTATGAATTATCACAGTTACACCACTTTTACCATAACTCCCGAGTTTAAGGGCCCTTTTCTTCTCTGGAGTGGCTGCATTCTGCATTAGCAATACGCCCCTTACCGAGTTGTGAGTCATGCCCAGGGCAAAGGCTGATAAACTGCAGCCTCCCATGTTGCACAGCCCTTCTTCATCCAGCAAATTAGGGTCATCGCCCTCCTGATGGTCTGGCATTTTCAAATTTTTCAGAAAATGGCTTTGTATGAGAGGGAGGCAGCACTTTCTGTTTTCTTTTCCTTTTAATACAAACTGGGAATAAAAACAGAGTCTATAACATGATGGAGCAGCTCATGACGCATCTTGCACCTTGCACCTTGCCCTGATGCTTTTCTTCTGGCATCAGCAGCAAACTACAGAAAGGGCAGAAGTGTCCTTGCTCTCAATTTCAATGATCACTGCCAAATGATTTTCTGTGCATGTGTGCCCTGAAAGATATTTGGGAGAATGTTTGTCACAAATCAGTTTTGCAAGAAAAATCTATCCCTAATGTCAGGACAAGACCTTCATGTACCAGTATCCTTCCCTCAGCAGCCAGTTTTCAAGGCTTTGCTTTGAAAAGCACTGAGGTCTTCCCACTTCTTAATGAAATGGCTTTGATTATTGTGAATGTCTCTGTCAGGTGATGCTACAGTTCTCTCTCTCACAACGTGCTCTGCTAGATCCTAACAGCTGGTATGATTTGGCCCATCTCCATGTCCTACTACACAGCTCTGTTGATTTACACTAGTTGGAAAAATACAGCTGATACGGTCCTGTAAATACTATCATTTAAAAATATTACATTATTACCCCTGAGGGAAAAGGGCAAGCTATCTTGAAAAGTATCATGTTGACATCTTTGTAGCATTTATTAATTTTAAAAGTTATCTGTGGTTTAATAAAGCAGTTTGGGTTTGATGCTATTTCCAAATCTGAGGATTTAGACCTTGAGTGTGTCCAGCTGGATTTATATTTTTTGATTAATTCCCTCACATCCTCACCCCCTTTCAGTTTTATATCATTTAGGTTGCTCCCCAAGGTAGGCAAACAACGTTCATTATAGAAAACTCCATCCCATTGTTTACTTTATTCTGCAAAACATGAAGAATATTGATTGTGCTAAAGCAGGCAGCCCATGAGTGTTTCATGTGCAGCTACAAAAGCCCTTGCTGAGGGGAGGGAGGTGGGAAAAGGAGGCAAAAATCTGAATACAATCAACAGTGTCTTTGTCAGGAAGGTGATAAAAGAGTCCCTGAGGGACCATCCCTTTTCCTGCTGGAAAAGAGATCCCTGTAGACAACCACTACCATCCTCCAAGTGAGCTGGGCTTGTGCAGCCCAGCTCCGGGTTATCTGCTCGGGGAAGATGCTGGGAGGAGGCTCTGGAGGTACTCAAGGATGTGAGGAGCAAAAGGAAAATCCAGCCCTGGGATCGCTTGTCCTTGACACCCTCATCCCGCCACGAAGGATTTGCCTTGCCTGCATCAGGAAGAGGGTTGTGAAACACCATCGCTTCCCTCCCAAGAGCAGATGGGAGCCAGCACAGGAACGACTTTGTCCTCTGCACGTGGGAGACGAAGCAGAAAACAAGATTTGGGAGAGGGGGAGAAAGAACAGGAAACTTAAAATCCACCTGAGATTAATGACTTTAACATGTACAACATGTTTTATTTTGCTTTGTTTTCCCCTCGGGACCAGTTTCATCAGCCAGACAGAGTTTGATTAAATATCTCAGCAGAGCTGTGGTTTATTCATCTAGAGCAAAAGCTACCCTCTTTTCAGGGAAGCAGCATTAGCTTTGTTTTCTAATTATAAGAGCAACAATAATAATAAAAATAATAACAATGGCATGCATTGTGGATAATTTTTATTTTCTTTTTGTTAGGGGTAAGTGGACTGTATTTTTTCTGCATTGTAAAGACGAAATGAGTTATTTTAAAGATCCTTTCTGGGCTGTATGGAGGGTTTTTTTCTCTTTTAAGTGGATTTTTTCAAGGTATTCGCCAGAACCACTCGGCCTTGAAAACAGAATGGCAGAAGAGGGTATCCTGTAGTTGCTCGACTCCAGGAACTGGGACATGAAGGGAAATGCTGCAAAGGCTGCAGAGCTTCTGAGAAAGCCATTGGCTCTGTGCTGGGGCTCTTATGCTGCCATCTGGGTGGGGATGAACTTCAGACCTAAAAGTTGTCACGGATTGAGTTACTTGGAGAGTCTGTGCACTCCTACAACACAGTGATGGCTTAAATGGGGACAGCTCACACATCTGAGTCTAAACGTGTGTATAAATGTTCTTCTGGATCAGGGCCAAAGCACTGAAAACCTTAGGGAACTGAATGCTACAAAGGCCATTTATCGATACCTCAGATCTCTCTAAGTGGTAACTGCTGACGAACATGAACTTTTTAAAATGGAGACCCGAGTTTCTTTCAGATTTTCTAATGCTGGGCCCCAAATTCACTCAGTCTGGGATTGGGTCTGTAGCGTCATTCAGTGATGATGAATGATGAACCCAGGCTGGACTGGATGGGAGTGTAAAATAGAAACAGGTAAAGTTGTGTGCTCACAACCCCATATTTGTCTGAAGCTCGAGGCATGTGTGAAGGCTCAGCTTCAACATCATAGAAACATAAAATCACAGAATGGTTTGGGTTGAAGGGACCTCAAAGCTCATCCAGTCCAACCCCTGCCATGGGCAGGGACACCTCCCACCAGCCCAGGCAGC